GAAAGTACTCGGTGTATCGGGCTCAGTGGGAGAGCCTCTTGATGCAGGGGATGAAAGGAGCGCTATTTTTCGTGCTTCATTGTCAAGTGGCATTGAATCTAGGGATTACTAATGAGCTATTGAATGCCAACGTACATAGAGCATCAGAAGATGAGAAAATACCTCTACGCCGTTTTCTAACCACCTGCTCGGACACGGACTCCTCACAATATGGAGGTGGACCCACCTGCTTCACCTGTTCGGACACGGGTTCCTGACAATATGGAGGTGGATCGGACGGTAGACCGAAGACATGCCAATCTCTCTGGACCATGCGATGGCGAGCGTGGTCAAAGGGCTCTGCCTCAAGACTTCGTCCTCGCAGGGCCTGGCAGAAACTTTCGAGCTTATCAAGTTCTTTATTCACACATTGTCGTCTGGCAAAGTGTATACGGAGAGATTCGGATCGACAGATCTTTGCAAACGAGTGGAAATTCAAGTCTGCTGGAGTGGCTGGACTGAGAGACTGCGTCTCAGATGGACAAAAAACAATGCCGATCGTACCGAGTGTCAGACTCAGTGTTGAGACGGCCGAAACATTGGTGACATGGGCCGGGATTGTGGGAACCAAACTGGGTGAACAGAGGCCGTCGTTGCTAGTCTTGTGTAATGTACATCCTTCGACTCTTTCTGGGGGAATATTCAACCTTACCTGTGCTTTGACGCGAGGGTTAGCGAGATCTGCCGTAATCGAAAGGGTGATAGATCCCCGGCCGGCAGTTTTATCATGGAGAATACGAAGGCTAGCCCGACACGACACGTCGAGACCGGGTGAATGAATAATAACTGCTTTGTTGAATACCCAGGGCGGGTTTTGCGATGGGGTGGTCATTGTGTTCTTGCAATTCGTTGGATTAAAAAGCGGAACCCTCGATAAATCGAGTATCCCTCCCACCCGGGCTTTGGAACAACGTTGAGCAGCCCTGACTCGGGTAATATGGCGGATCCAGAATGATAATAACAAGAAGATGAGAGTAAGGCGGTACAAGCTCTTGCGGCCTGGTCACGGGTACGTGCCCAATCCGAAATCAACAAGTGAAATCGGAGAGTCCTATGAAAACACAGGAATGGCAGGACTGGAGGCGAGAACGGCAAAGAGCCAATACTTCCTTTACGGGATGATTCTGATGTCGCAGGGAGGAAGATGATGAAGAAACGGCCCGCGAGAATGCAAAGACGCGGCTGGGGCTTGGCACGCGGACCACGTGATGGGAAACTTCGGGTGCGATCCGGATTTACGTATGTCCCTTCCGTCCACACCCGATCAAAAACACCATCATTCAGAGCTATACATCCAATCTCCCGTCCGGTCTGCCGCATCCGCAAGGCCCACGATGTTGAGACTGAGGATGGAAGTGGTTCCTTCCGTTGGCCAGGAATCTGTTTCCCCTGCGTGCGATGTCAGAGCAGCGTTAACCAAAAATTCATGGAGAGGTGCATCACGCTGAGCCATGTGAATACCTAGAGTGGCATAATTTAACTGTTGTAATCTAGCAACAATTTAGCCTGACTAGGATTAGTTAGATTAAGATATAAATTTTCTTAATTAATCTACATATAGATAAATTAAGATCCATACAGGGACAACCAATTAGAGACTAAAACCTGCCATAAGCTCTCGCTGGGGGAAGCTGATACCAGTGATGCGAGAGTGTCCTTGCCCAACATGGAGCCATATTCCTGGGAACTATGCGGGATATGGGAAAAGGGGAACGATCCGAGCCGTCTAACACTTTAACAGCGGGGAATTCAACCTTGTAGGGACACTCATTGGACTTGCTTGTGACGCACTGACGACCGGAGAACAAACTGCGAGATTAACCCCCTGCCATAAACTATTTACGGTGGATAATGTCGTGGGCATTGTTGTAGGTTACCATCTCCCCAAAACCCCTCAAATCCAACCTGTTAATCCGATAAGCCCTGTTTGGTGTATTTCTGCCGAGTGCAAGGGTGCCTTTAGCCGTCACGTTTCCGTATATCTGGGTATAGAAAAGCTGGGGTACCGTAGAGCCATATTGACTACACGCCAGCTATTATACCAACGAGGGGTAGGAGGAGAATGCAAACGTACTAACATATCGTGATGCACTACCGAGTATACGCCTTAAATAGATATCGTTCTTATTTACTATAAATCAATCGAATAGCTTCTAGCTTCAGACGCTAAGTTTCCTACCACTAACTATTTCTTTCTTAGACATTCTATATATACCTCCTAACTTATCTCAAACAGTTTAACAAAGTCAAATTTGTATAAGAAGGAGTCTAAGTTGAAAAAAAAGATGAACGGTGCTGGGGGTGTCAAGATAGTAGGATCTCAAGATTGCTTTACTCACAATTTTCGCTAATAGACATTTACTACCGATTTCGATCTACTAAGAACTAAGAATCTCAGGGACTATCCGAGGAGCCCATTTATACTTGCAAAATATCCCTGGTAGAATCACAAGGCAGATACAGTTACCAATATCCAATCTTCCAGACAATCCGATACGCGTATTATCTGGAACTTGCAAGAGGTTCAAGGATTGGACCATATCACTTTTTAATCCTCTGCTCGAGCTGCTAGTATTTCTCTTGTTGCCCATTGCCTTCCCGTGCCCCGCATGCGTAGCGCCATATCGTCGTCCTACGCCGAAGGCGCCCTTACAACGTAGTAGTGGTTGCTGTGTGTGCCATATATTTACCTATAGACTGGGATTCATCTATTTGCCCTATGAGCTGGTCCATACGAATCATCGCCCAAATCATCAACACCACAGCCCTGATCCTTACAAGCAATGATAAGTCATCTTTGCCCGTCTATCTGCTTATCTGCTTATCTGCCGCCTTTGCTGTACACTGTTTTCTGCTCTTTCTGCAGATTAGTGTCGTCCCTTCTTAGCATCGTCGTCTAGCGCCTTGTCCAACTCTTTCTGGTAGTCCTCTTGGGCCTTTCTCAGATCCTTCTGCAAATCTTCCATGTCTTTCCGCAGATCCTTCATCTTGTGATGAGAGGGACTCTGCTGCATGTGCTGGGAAACGCGGTTGATCTTGTCCTGAAGCTCTTCTACCTCCTCCTGTCTTTTCATCACGGACTTTCTATTGTGATACAGCTGATTCAGTGGGTAGAATTGACTCGGCGGATATGGACCTTGCGGGGGATATTGTTGATATGGACCCGCTTGCGGATATAGCTGCTGAGGGAATTGCTGCGGGTAGGGACCGCCCTGGGGGGGAAGATTTTGTTCACCCTTATGCTGGTGCTTCTTATAGATGTCTTGAGCTATAGAACCGGCAATCGCACCACCGATGGTTCCGAGGAAGCCGTGGTTGGCCTTGTGGCCAGCGAAACCACCGACAGCACCACCGGCAAGGGCACCGGCAAGACCACGCTCACCATTCTGGGCCTCACCAGGGGCGGCCTGCTGCTGCTGCTCGTTGTAAGACTGAGGATATTGATTCTGAGGCTCTGGGTACTGTTGCAGATATGATTGCTGAAAGCCTTGGGAAGGGCCCTGGGGAGGCGGAGGACCAGAGTAGCCATACCCATTTTGGGAAGGAGTTCCATAGTACTCTGAATTCATTATTGGTAGCAGGGATCGAGAAGGTTCAAGGTAGAATGTTGAAAAGTAAGGTATGCTGAGTATTCTACCACACCTCCCAGCAGGGGAGCAACAACCTTCAAATATTTAAATTTAAGAATCTCGTCTAGCCCTAAATATCCACTCCCCCTTTAAGAAAGACACTACGAAGGAACGTCAGCTGGGATATGTCAACGTCACACACTCTGCATAAAGCTTCTGTCCCGCAGTGCCCGTATTTATTTGGACATGATCGGCATTCATAGTAAGTTCTTGTTCGTTATTGGGTCACGTTTTGGCCCCCATATATCAACACCCGACTCATTTTGGCCCCCACGTCTGGCTTGTCCCATTGGGTCTTGTCCATAGCTGTGTCCGTTTTGTTTTTGTTTTTTAAGTTTTAAAAAGAAAGAAAGAAAGAAAGAAAGAAAAGAAAGAAAAGAAAGAAAAGAAAGAAAAGAAAGAAAAGAAAGAAATTCGGAAATTCCGTCCATATTACTTCTATTGGACAAAAGTCCTGAGTCCGGGCTCCGATAGATTATCTCTATCTACGATCTACGGGCATCGACTCCACAAATAGAAACCCCAGCCACGAATACACGCGTACATTTTCTAACGGATAAGTTACCCTGTTCGCTAAGACGTGCTAACATTTAGTCGGCTACATCAGTTTAAGCTGCCTTCGTAGATTCTTCCAGCGTTGCTACAGAGCAAACGTAGTTTCTCAATTGATCAACACATCCAAAGCTGCCGGGGGAAGCCGGGATGCACTGGTGCGTCGGAGCTTATTTAGGGAATTCTTATTTGGACCTATACCCTTGTACCTGGGATGTGCACATCCAAAGTGTCTTAAGCTCGGCATTGCTTGGCAGATACTATATATCATGATTATTGGCGCATGTCTGATGCCATGCTATTGACGGTACTTTCTGACAAGACACAGGATATTGTAAGCAGCTGTCAAACAAGTCTTCTTTGACTCGGCCTTCATATCGACTGAGACAGTAGTCTCCACAACATCAAAATTGAATGCGATTTGCGTACTATAAAGAAGAAAACTGGGGATGATTGATTAGTCTTATCACGGTTGGTAAGAAAGGTTGCCTTACTGTAGAGCTGCAACAGTGGGGATGAAGGGAAGAGAAGGTGGCTCCCATTCGTTTCACCTCATTGGAACAGGAAGCGTGTTTTTCCAGCGATAAAACTCAAGGTTCAAGTCACTTATACAGCCTTTCCACCTGGTGCTGTCTGCAATATTTTTCAAGGAAGCCAGTTCTAACAAAAGGCGCTCTACAATGTTGGACAGGCGTATCGGCTCTTGAGAACATGCTATCAAACCCAGTGGACTGGCGATGCCTCTTGGATCGCTTGGATGTCCTGCTGGAAGCCATTGGCTTATCTTCGGGAAGTCACTGTCGAGATCAGTCGTGCTGAAGAGCTCCCAGAACAAGGCTGCACATACGGGAGGATTTCAGTCAATTCAACCGACGCATCTTGCCATGGAAGCTGAACAGATCGCCCTAATATCAAGCTGATCAATTTATCTGAAGTATAACAGCCCCGGTATATCTGACGCCGTATCTCAATGTCCTCGGTAGTGATTATCAAAAGGTCATGGATCATCCAGTGCCGGGGATCTTTGTGAAAGCCAAGGTCCTGAGTCATACGGAATGCAATCCCTATCGTAGTCAGCAGAGAGGCGAGAAGGAGATGATGAGAGGCATCTGACCACATACCCGAGAGACCCCAGCTTTTTGACAAGTACCCCTTGCTCAGGGCGTAAAAGGCAAGACACAAAAATGTCTGCACGGTCAAAATTGAAGGGTTTGGTAAGCCTGAGACAGTGCACACGCTTTCCGCTGCGGTATAACAACGATCGCCAAGTTCTCTCTCGCTGGGATCGGACGACATCTGTAATCCCAATGCACACACAGCCAGGAGAAGGTCAGGAGACCAATATTTGCAATTTTTTGGGTCGATAAAATGATCGCGTAAAAAGGCCTCCCGATATATAAACATCGAGTACGGGTACTGCCATCGGCAAAATAACCCATAGATTATGGTTTCATTTTGCACATTGATTCCATAGATCCCTGTGATGAGCTTCAACGGCACCGTTGAAACTAGATAATCCAAGGCGCTTCCTATGGTACAAGATGGCCAGCTAGAATAGATGCCGGTTGGTCCATGGTATAGAAATAAACCATCAGGGCTTCGTTGAAGTGATCCGCCACGATACTCGGTGTTTGAGGGGTGGCTATCCAAGTCATGTCTGGGAGGAGAAACTATGGTAGACAACGTATCCTTGGCTACGGCCGAGCTCAGTTGTCTATCTCTTTCGTCTGGTGAAGCGGCGTGCAGATCCCTGATGAAGGTTTCGAGCCATGCGACTCGCCTTTCTAGACTTGACGTATACTCAGCTCGTCTTTTTAAGTCCGTCTCACGGTACTCGCAGTTCTGGTTGGCCGATAAACAGCTCTGGCACGGTTCGGTGCGGGAGCATTTCAACTAAATTAAATTAGTCAAAATGGAGACATCTTGATGTTGGGAAAATGCATACTTTGCGATATCGACATCGTCGACACCTAGGCGTCGTTAGCGCGTAGAGCCACCACCCGGACGATTGATCTTTCCTTACGATGTTTTTCGCATCTTCCTCTGCGAGTCCGTTTAAGCACAGCCAGTGTATGGGACAGCCGCGGAACATGTACGGAGGATCTGCGAGGATTCTCATATCTTGGCGAGCTTTGCGTTTTAAACCATCACTTACCCCGCATAAATATTGGATCCACACGTTCCAACAACTGAAAATTGTTCAATCAAGTATACACGGAATAGCGTCGCCTCCCGTGCGTCTCATGGCGTTGGCCCCTTCGGCCTCGCCCTAAAATGGTCTACTGATGCAAAATGCTACCTGGTATACATATAAAAGTTGACAGTGTATTGCTAGTGATAGCGCTATGCAGTCCACAATGGCTAGCATGTATGTAAAAGTCTGCATGGAGCTGCCATTGTGGTGATTGAAGATAATGGCAACCCGAAGCCTTACAAAGTGTGAAGATTTGGATCCATCCCAGTAGTTTACCCTCATCTAACAAGCTTCTTATTCTCACGAGACAGAAGCCACTGCATCAGACCGCATAGAGCGGTTTCCAAAGCCGAAAAGGCCATCAGCAGAGCCATTGCAATAGAATATTGCGAGGCATCATTATCGTTGAAGAAATATGGGCTCCAGACATTTCCGACCCACCCTAAGAAATTGATCATCGCCATTGCGCAAGCTTTCTTCTAGGTAGTATCACTGGCATACTCGCAGCCCAGCTGAAAATCACTGGGCTGGCCTCAAAAGCACCAGCAACCAAGAGAAACGAAGCGACATATCGGACAGGTATGCCCAGTGTGGCAACACTAAGGATAAATCCCACGATTGCAATCATAACCGTCAGCATGATGTGGAATCCGCGCTCTTTGCTGGACCACGCCATGCCGTACGAAATCAAGGCAGCCACTATATATCGGGGTGCAATGCAGGCGAGGGTGACCGTGCGATTGAAGCCATCGACGATCGAGGGATAAAAATATGTGAAACCGTAAGAAGTCTGGCTAGAGCACATAATTAATGCCTGCAATCAGTGTTAGCCTCCCCTTCTGAGTTATCATCATAACTAATACGGTTTGGTGTAAGCCGTTTCGTTAAATACGGGATATTTACAAACACCCACATCTTTACATCTGTGACGGCAAGCTTGAGACCATGGCGAAAGGAGCTGCTGTCTTCGTGTGTTGAGACAGCGTCGCGTCGCATTCTATCAACATTAGGGTCAGCTCTTCTTCGCTAAATAGCCATTTGCCGCTGCCGCTTGAGGACGTGGGGAGATCAGCAAGAAGCAGGAACGCCATAATACCGAGTGCAAAGCTTATTCCTCCCTCAATGATGAAGAGCCACTGCCATGCTGCAAGCCCCAATCGACCTTCCATACTAGAAGAGATACCTGCGGCCAAAAGCCAGATATAGCAGTGGCAAGGATGAGACCAGAATAAAGACAGGCATAGCGAAGTGTAAGCTCTTTCCTTGTGTTAACAGCACGAAAGGACATAAAAGACTACTAGGAAGAAAGAAGCCTCACAAAATCCCAAGATTAATCGAATTGCAATAAGATCCCCGAAGTTTCGGGTAGCTCTGTGGAAGCGGATACGCACGACCAGATGCATAACCAGAAAGAAATATAGAGGGAAGGGCGAACTTTGGTTATTAGCATGTTGCTTGGGAGTTGCATCAAGATATATCTACATAATGACAACATGATTAGTAGTCAACTGAGATATGCATGGACAGGAATACCCTACGAAACATTCACAATGGAAACCGCAGTACTGGAATCATTGCCCTGAAGACCTAACTCCTGGGTGAACATGTCCAGCTTCGCTTGTCTGTCACAAAGGCCATGTGTCAGCACCTATGTCAGTAGAGATACCAAGACCTATTACTGACGAAATATTATTTCTGTCGAGATAATTGAACAGGTAGAGTATAAAGATCATGGGCATGAGGGTCATGTCGAGCTTCCGGACGATTCGTCTTTCCTTCTCTCCGTAGGACTCCTCAAGTACTTCAACGTCCACCCGTTGTCCTTTGTCAATGCTTCCCTCCCCTTTCTCAGATAGCTCGCCTGTACCTTTTCTGACCTTGTCGAGATCCATCGTAAATGGTTGTGCAACTGATCCACTGTCAGAATTTGTCAGACGGTGCCGAAGCCATGGTCAATATTCATTCGCGTTGAACCCTTTATAAGTTGAGCTTATAGCTCCAGATCCCTTCGAGCAGCCGGTACCCCTCATTTGATACGAACTTGATAAGTACACTCTAGTAGCCGTTGGCTACTAGCTCCGAAGGAGCCCTTACACAGAGCCATTCTGAATCTGGAGAGAGAAAAAATGAGATATATCTTAGAAGTATTTCTATATTTGCAGTAAATTCATTGAAAAGAGTAAGGAGCAAGGCCCAAAGGGTCTCTGGAATAGGAGAAAATGCATGTAAATAAGATATATATGTAAAACTATTGAATCTTCTATATATGACGCGCCCCTCGGAGCTTTAATTGCTTTATAAATAGTCTCGGCGTTGGTCTTATATTTGTCCGTGAATACTAAAATACAGACATCCAAATGCAATCGCAAGTGCAGGGTAGAGGGTTGCCGACCCCTTGGTTCAACGGGGACGGCGGCCCTTATATATCGTCGCGCTGCCGCGACGACTAGTCCCTGCAAAAAGTAGCGCTAAGCCACGGGGAGGTGGCTTAGCGATTAAGGACAGCCACAGTATACAGTTAGGATTACACAAAGATATATATATTAATGGAAGTTCACCGGTTAATAACTAATATACGTCTAGCAAAATTGAAAATGAAATACTAGCGGCAGTCTCAGGTAAATTGGCCCGGGCGAACCTCTGATTCAAGTACGAGGTATTTGGTCGAAGACGTAATATCTCAAGTCTCAGGCAACGTGAGGTCCCAGAATGGTGTATACAAAGTGTCCTTTTGAAGGATACCTTGTGTCTGAGAATGTTATATTCAAGCAATGGAACGGAGATATCTAACTTCCGGTGAATCCCATTCCACACTAGCAAGGATTATTCGCCCTAGGGTAATCTTCCTAAGGCTGAACCCCGCCTTCACCTGGAGAGAAGCATAATCCTTTCGGAACCTGATTCGCAATGATGCACTCCCCTCTGACCTCCGAATTCGACGCGCTGGTTCATGTCCTCTTAAAAAAATGGCACGTCCCTGGCATGTCCATCGCAGTCATTGACGGATCCAGGACTTTCTCTAAAGTAAATGTCCCTTACCAACTGCTACTGAACATTTGTCTTAACTTGTCTGCAGGGATACGGAATCGCCGAGTATCCTGACACCAAAACAACCCCTGATACCCTGTTTTACATGGCCAGTACGACCAAGGCGTTCACCGCAGCGGCCATGTCCCTGGTTATCAATGACAGCAACAACCACCACGGAGAGAATAACACTAGAATGGCCACGACAGCAGGTCAGATCCACTGGAGGACACCCCTAGCATCTATTATCCGCGATGACTTTGTCCTCGAGGACGAGTACACCACAGCACAGATCACCATCGAAGACGCTCTTTCCCACCGCTCAGGCATACCCGATCATATCCGCCACTACGGCGGAACGGGAGCATCGGCCGGCAGCATCAAAGACGCAGTCCGCATCTTGCGATATCTCCCAGCTACAGCCGAGCTGCGCACAAAATACATGTATAACAATCTCATGTATACGGCAGTCTCCCATGCTATCGAGACCCTCACGGGGGAGAACCTCGGGACATTCCTGCTTCATCGCGTGTGGACCCCCCTCCACATGGCCAGCACTTACTGGACCCGTGATGATGCGCAGGCTGGCGACAATATCCTAGCACAGGGCTACACCTGGAACGCGAACAAAAGCGAATATACCCCCGAACCATGCCCTGACATCATCGGCGGATCTGGCGCTGGTGCCATGATTAGTAGTGTCGTCGACTATGCGCGGTGGATTCGATGTATGATGACATGTAGCGGGCCCCTGAGCAAAAATGCACATGCAGCGCTCATACAGCCACGTACGATTATTGCTGAGGACCCGACGAATATGTTCCCCGGTACGCATTTGTATGCACTTGGCTGGACACGGGATAACTACCATGGTGAGGATATTATCTGGCACGATGGTAGTGTTGCTGGTTATGGATGCACAATGATGTATCTTCCACGACGGCAGTGGGGCTTGGTCATGGCAGGGAACACTACGCTGACGAGCAATATCGTGCAGGTAGTGCTGTATATGCATCTACTGGATCAGGTGCTTGGAATCCCATCGCACGATCGGGTGGACTGGCAACAGCAGATTTCAGAGAGAATTGCTACATGGAGGGAGAAGCAGGCACATGCAAAGGACCTTTTATACCCTGGGTTGCCTGTCGTACAAATTCGGCCTACGCTCGGAGTGTGGGAGTATGCGGGCCTGTACGAGCATCCGGGGTATGGTAGGCTGGAGCTCAGGGTGGATATAGATGGTTTCGGGCTCGTTGCGGATCGACTGACGTGTGAGGTGCCGATTGTGATCTTAATGGAGCATGTAAGTGGGGAGTTCTGGTTGGCGTCGCTGAGGGAGAGAAATCAGGACCCTCGCGATAATGAAAGGGTGCGAGCGGAGTTTCGAATTGGTGTAAATGGCTTAGTGAGCGAGGTGGGAATAGACTTGGAGCCGGAAATGAACGGCGAGAAGATTTGGTTTCAAAGAACAGATTTAGACATGTAGTCGCTATAGTAACAACCGAGTGAACGCGAAAAGGTTTTACGTGACGCTAATAAGAAAGACGGTTCTTAGGATCTCTGAGTTGACCTGTGGCGTGCAAAAGGGGCTCGACTATAACCCTAACATTGCATCTAAATCGCATATGCGGCAGTTTAAGTAACTGCTCTTACAACCCCTGCCGGATCCTGGTCAACTTGAGCAGCAATCCTGATATACCATCTGATTAGGGTTCGAGAACAACTTCTGTATACAGGATATGGAGGCCAGTTCCAAGCGCCTCTATAGAAAAGAAATTAGTCATTGGCAGACTAAGTACCTGAACAATGGCTAGGCTACAACGGTTAGGTTATGCCAGTCTAGCCTAGGGATTAGACTTAGGCCCAGTAGTCAGGGCCCAGGGCCCGTTCATGGGCCCTGAAGAAGACTACACCCCCTTGTGGACTAGGTGTAAAGACATCGACGGGCTGTCTATTCACCAGTACTACCTGACTGTACAAGACGATCCACTTTTGTCTGTTGACACGTAGTGACCATTGCTTTAATGAGAATAATGACCGGCTTCAGCTCAACCCGTCCCTCGGCGGCCATTTCGACATAATCGCATACCCAAGTCACAGACACGAGATCCTCATCGAGGTTTTCATGGTCTGGATTCTCTATGATGTCTAAGCAAAGGATAAAAAAGGGGAGGAATTGGTACATCGTGATAGGACTATACATGCGGTTAATAATATGCACAACAAGGACGTGAATGGGCATGTGAGGCTTTCTATACCTGATTCCCCAGAACGCATGCGATGTGGACCCCAGAAGCGATTGGAAGATCTTCAGTGACTTCCTAGCCAGATTAACGGCTGGATGTGGTAAGAGATGACCATGGTGACATTTCTTCGACAGATGCAGCACAATAAGTATCTCATAGCTACCGACCAGCACGTCGATGCAGAGCCAGGAATCGATATGATTTGATATTGTTCGAAGAAGGCCCGCCTTTTGTTCCTATTAGCACAGCATTTCATTTGCTGTCATGCTGCTAGAGTAGGGTAGAACGCACCGTATCCCAATCCGACAATATAGACTGCACCTCATCGATATAAGTATGAAGAATAGAATCATGCGGAATCGGGTCCAGATCCGGACCACTATCAATCCAATCGAGATATTTCCTAACAATAAGACCAAGGCGCATTGAAATCAAGAAATGAATTTGTATAAAGCGCGAGGATTCATCGTCCACGCCATTGATTGTTGGATCGGGCAAATGGACTTTCCACGATCCTGTGGGGATGAGAGTTGGCTTGCCGAATGACTTTCGGAAAAGACAGTCTGTTCGAAGGATGTGCCAGAAGACGAAGCGTTTGCGATTCCGCTCGACTTCAGCTTCGTGCAGTGGTGTGCCAGCTGGTGTGGAGAGTTGATTGTCCCCTTCACTTGGTGTTTCGTCGACGGAGAAATAGCCTAGGGTCTTCGATATCCTGCATGTGTGGGTGAACGCCTTCCACGCTAGATCTGTGTTATAGCCTTCGAGGGCTGTTGACGTCTATTGGTTTGTTAGCTTCGTTGGTTGGAGATCTACTATATGTGATGCGCTTGCCATGAGGGATGCGGCCAAGAAGTCGACAGGGCTATCTTGGATATTCTTCATCCACTCGTCACTTAATGCAACGCACTTTAGATATAAATTTCGCATAATGCTGCCCCTTCTGGGATGGGGTTCGGGCTCCAGAAGAATGCCCCGAAGGAGAACAGAGTAGTAGATGATCTGAGATTTACAATCTAGTTGGACGTGAGGGATTTCGATTAAGTCGGGGATTGAAGATAAGAAAGATTTCTCGAGAGGAAATTCGAAGCCTGGAAATTGGTAAGAGCCGTAGTGGTCTGGAAAGGATATTAGATCATCAACAGCTATAAGGGGGTGCAGTCACTTGCTTTCGATGATTTTCTTTGCCAGGTCTTTTGGGATAACCGGGTCCCCAAGCGGCTCGGCGCTCTGCGTACTTTGTGTAGATTCGATCTCCGATATAGCAGAGGTCATTGCTTTAATACATCGATTGTTTTCGAAATAGCATGAGTCAACTTGTCGGAGGTGACAAAAGACGTTGGAGAGAAGCATAGATCGACTGCCTTCATCCTTGATCCGGCTGACAATATCTCGAATCACGGATGGAACGACTTGAGCCGGGTCTTTGTCTATGGATATTGCCCGAGCGGCCTCTGAACCGACAGAAGAAATTGACATGGAATCGTCACCATTATCTTCAGTCTCTGGAGCATTTCCCAGACCGACCTGTTCTTCAAGACGCTTAAGACGGTCCATAATCTCCAAAAGCAGACGTTTATCGAGTGGTTCGTTTCTGCGATATCCTTGTCAGTTTCCTGGTGGAGTCGAGCCGCCTTTTAGGTAGACAAATACGTTTGTTTCTTAGATCGGGGTTTCCGAGGCAAGTAGACACACTCAGCTCCCGCCGCTTCACAATTGCCACATCGTGGAGCGACTCGATTGCAGCGAACCTAGCCGGTTGTTATTTTAGTTAATCTGTCCAGCTGGAATTGCCAAGACTAGATCGGGTTACCTTCTTGGATTGGCAGCGACCGCACTATTTATGGTTTGAAGTGAGGGGTGGGTCGAGTCAGGCATCAACTCCAGCAGAGGCAACTTACCGAGATATTTTGTATGGTACTCATTTCTTTCGAGACTCTATCTCTCGATGTACGTGGGTGTGGAAGAAGAGTCCGAAAGGAACGCCGGTGGGGAACGGAGGATGGAGAGGGGGGAAAGTATAGACGTTGTCGTGGGCGTCTTGGCGCTTGTAGCGGCTCTTTAGGCTCCATACGGCGGACTAATTCGATGTTCCGGACAATATAAAATATTACCAGCCTTACCAATACTAACGTACTATACTATTAAGTAAGTTATATCTATTTATAGGTCTCCAGTATACTGATAAACCAATTATATTTCTTATATAACGTAACCGGTAAGCAACCCGGTAGTACTGTATTCTATATAAAATAGTCTATTTTCAATATCAATGTCTCAATAAG